CTAGCTGGTGTAACGGTTAAAGCGCTTGGTCTTCCTGCTGCAAAGGCCGGGTTCGAGTACCATGAAACCCCGGCATGCCACGTTCAACTTGCAAGAACCAGGAAGAATTCACATGCATTCAAGAACGTGGCGAATGTTAAGGAAAATTAAATTGTGAAAACAAAAGAAAATAAATAAGAAGAAATAATAAAATAATATTAATAATAACAAAAAATAATAGTATTAATAATAATAACAACAAAAACAATAATTTAACAACATTGACAACAACAACATTAATAATAATAATAACAATAATGATAATAATAACTGCAGAACACTACAAGCACGAACAACAAAAGATTACAAACTATGACAATGGAAAGATTCTACGGGACACCCCAATAATAACTACTGAGGCAAACATACCAGATATAATTATCTATGATAAAAATGAAAACATATGCTTACTGATTGATGTAGCGGTGCCAGATGATAATAATGATAAACAAAAAGAGATTGAAAAAATTTGCAAGTATAAAGATCTTCAAATTGAAATACAAAGAATGTGGCATACAAAAGCAAAAGTAATTCCAGTGATGGGGGAGCTCTTGGGATAGTCAGCAAAAATTTGGAAGAAATGCTAAAAAAATTACCGGGATTACCAGCACTGGCTGAAGTTCAGAAGATAGTATTACTAGGAACAGCAGAAAATATAAGAAAAATACTTGAATGAATCTCTTTGGGATCTGGATGAACCCTGGATTCACCATCAACCAGCTTTTAGAAAGCCTGTGCAGGTGAAACATAATAATAATGATAATAATAACAAAAACAATAATTTAACAACAACAACAATATTAATAATAATAATAATGAGAATGTCTTCCTTTAGTTCATTTCAAATCACTTATGTACAACAAATGAATTTCAAAAAAATATCTATTTATTAATATTTGACATAACCCCCGAATAAGAGAAAGGAAGGTTGAGGGTCGCCCACTTGGCTCGTCGGACGCAACCCCCCAACACAATCATCTGGAGAAACAATCCTATCGATCCAGTAAAAACGAACTAAATATAACATGAACTTACTTGGAGAACTAATTAGAAATACATTGAAATTAGCAAAAAACAATAATAAACAAAAATGTAAATCATTGTGGATTTTGAAAAAATTTATAACAAAATTTGGCATGAGTTGTTAAAATGAATTTTAGCCGAATTCGTAATAAACAGAATGAACCTCAAGACAACAAATAAAATAAATTAAATGTTATTGTTAAAAATTTGTATATAATAAGTGTGGTCTAAGAAAATTATATTTTCTTCAACATGATATTTTTAATAATTTGTCGTTTCAGTGCTTGGATCTGTCATATATTTAAATAATACTTACTTATTATGTATATGTGTCAAATCGTCATAAATAATATTGCTAACAAATTTGTTTTGAATGTTTCTAGATAAGGATTTTCATTCTGTGTATGAAAAAATAGATTTAAGAGCAGTTAAAATGATTTAACGTCTCGATATCAGTCAGATGAGTATGTCGAGGCAGCAAACATGGCTTGCTTGGTCGTCCTGGTGATCCATATCATGCAGGATGTTGGCTTTTGAGGGCTTTTAAATGAAATTTCTAAAATGTTTACGCATAATAAACATTTTCTGCTATAAAACTAAAAGTCTACGTTGTAGATTTTTATTTGATCTTGTTCATCCTTTTTTTGACAATTTTCTAAGGTATCAACACAATCGACAACAAGTCCCCACGCGTGAACAACACATCACAACACATTATAACACAACACATCACAACACATTATAACACAACACATCACAACACATTATAACACAACACATCACAACACATCACAACGCATCATATCACATCGCATGTGCAAGGGGGTTGAACGCACTCGAACAGAGTCACCACACAACTATGCCAACCATCTCAACCCTTACACCGTCCTGTTGTCCAGTAGCTATCAATAACTATAAAACTTAGTTCCTAAATATAATTTAATTGCTATTTAAAAATTGTTCCATTAGCCGCCAGTTCCATTTAAAATCAGTGGCTGGAAAGTAATACCAGCATAGACTGACTAGAAATTTAAATTGAAAAACTGGGACAGAATGCAGTGGCTAAATTTTGCAGGGGGAAGTTTTCAAATGATTAAGTTCATGACTTTTTATTTTTGCTAATCCGTTAATAAAGAATTTTTTAACATTTTCTTCTTTCATGGTCTGGTGAGAGGTGCAGGCCGGCACCTGCCCTCGGCCCGACGCTGATCACTATAGAGCTTGTGTTGATTGATTTTCAGATCAACTCAATTCTAAAAAAACAAATATATGGAAGTAAGTATCCCAAAAATATCGGTAATAAATTTTAGGGAAATAAAATTTTGCAGTAAATGGAAGAAAAAATTTATGTGAGAAATTATTTTCATGAATGAAGCTGAATAAAAGGGTCTGACGATCCAGTCTAACTGAAAATTCTGACGCTCTACAAATATTTTTTTAAATTATATTCCAGGTACAAAAACCGACTCGTTTCAAGTTTAAAATAATTTTTGTAGAAAATTTAATTTCATCAAGCTAAAATGATTTGTATAATAAATTAACGCCATGAACATTCAATTATGTTTGCATTTGTTGAGTAAAAATATCAAACCGAAACTAATTTTTTTTGAACAGAGACAATTTCAACATTCCTGTTATTAGACACAAAATTTTGGATAAAAAAATCAGATTTGACCAAAAACTGTTTGGTCAGATTGATTTGCTATTATAAGATACAAGTTAGTGAATTGCTGTTATGAGATGCAAGTTAATGACAACAAAACCTTATATTTGTTATGTACTAGTGATAAGGCATAAAACACATATAAATATTAACAAACACACACCACACACATACACACACAAACACACATACAAATACACGTACCTTCATACACACCAGCAAATACAAACTCTTCCCTTATAACACATACAAACCCAGATAGATGTACCGTACATGCAGATATACACAACAGACCACAATACAACCAACTAATAAAAAGTCGGAGAACAATGGCGGGAAAGCAATTTATGGACATGAAATGGACGTACAAACCCAGCAAATTAATTGTTGCCCAGTTCTCTTTACATGATTGTAAGTGCATAGGGAACAAAATAGAGTTTGAACGCATACATACACACCACACATGCACACCACACACACACACATAATGATAGACAACTAGCTATATATTTTTAGTTTAACTATAACAAGTTTACATAAAAAAACTAATGCTTCAACTAATAGTAACAAACTATTATTCAAGAATAATCAACTAAACTAAAAAAGTAGTTAATTTTGTCCAAACTATCATGTAACTTCTTGATAGTTAAAAAATTGATAAATAAAATCACAACTGGTCAATATTTAATGAGAATATTAAAATTAAGTTAATTATTTAAACTAAAAAAATTAATTTGAGGTAAAACTTTAGGAAAAGATCTCAAAAAACCACTCTTCCACCGTGGCTGAAGTGCTTACCTGTTGCCAACCTATGTTGTTGTACCAATGTATCAGCCCTGTGTAAGAGGGAAGTTGTCGTCAAATACAAACTGTCATTTTCGTCCCTGTTGCCCATTCAACAAACGAAGGTTTAACAAATAAACTTCTGCTTAGTTTTGGTTTCAGAGGGATTGGTTCTTGATGCACTGTAGCTGGCCCAGTTTTTATTGTGTAATTGCTGATGTGTTCTTAGTTGCTTTTAAACTTCTGACAGAAAATAAATGAACATTACACATCCTTATCAGTCTCATTTGTCAAAGCGCTGTTCACTTGTTTCTGTTACTTCTGTATCGGTCTGGCTGTCTGTCACTCTGCTTTTGTCTGTCTGCCAGGTTAGTGAAACGGTTAGATGACACCTGATATATTTTAGTCAAACTATCATTTCAACTAAACTATTACATTCAGTAAAATTAAGCAGGAACTTGAGTTGAACTATTAGCTTGCAACTTTTATTATTTAGTTAAACTAAGCATATGACTATCTAAATGCTTGTTTTTACATCTATACACAATAAACACAGATATACATAATTAAACCCTTTCACATATATACAATTATACATTTATAAAGATTACTGCCAAAAACGCAGTGATCTTTATAAATAATTGTATTTATGATAGTCTAAATCCAAAATATGTACATTCACACACACCACACACACACACGCACGCACACACACAACACACACAAATGTATTTATCAGCAAAATTTAAAAATATAGCTAAACATTGATTTCTACGAATCTGCAATCAATTTAGTTTTCAGATTTGACAAAAAACAGTCGATGTTTGAGCTGTCTGAATTGCTCAAGTATGTATATGTCAACTGAGGAATTTACGACTGACACGTGAATGTGTTAAGGAAGATGCTGTCAAATATTTGGCTCATGCCTTCGTTCATGCAATGATTTTGACTACTGTAACAACTTGTTATTTGGGGTGTCTAGGAAGTGCACTGTGATGATTCATTTATGACAGGACTGATAAATTAGTAGTAGGTGGTTTTAAATATGATTACGTCGCATTAATTCTACAAAGGTTATACTGGTTGATTTCGTTCTTGCGTTATGTTGGAATTTTTGCACAATTTTGTTTTACATTTTTTGGAACGATTGTTTGTGAGAACATTTCTGACAAACATTTCTGACGTACAGACAATCTTTTTAATATATACAAATGTATATTTATAAATGAAAAAAAGCGTACAAACAGACGCACATTCATTTGTACATTTTTAAATTAAACAAGTTAAAATGTAGAATACGAATCAATATATTCAAACTTGAAGCTACTAATTTAAAAGCTCGCACTCAAATTTAAAGCGACAATTGGACAAATAAAACAGATTTCAATGCAACTCGTTCACAAAAATACTATCAGGCTTTTTATGCTTGATAACTACTAAGACACGCACACACACCCACACAATGCAAAAAGAATTTAGTTGAAAGGATGAAATGGAAAAAACAGTCAGAACAGAACTGGAAAAGATAGAGATGGAGATAAGTACATAGTAAAAGATATTCAAGCGGTGCAAACACACATACATACAAGCTTACATGCCTTCATACATACATGAACGGTTAACACCTAGATCTGTAACTGTGTATATTTTCATATAACCTATGTGTCTGTTGTTAATAGTCACTACTTATACATACCTATTTACATATTCATATATGTACAAATTATATGTATATGGAAGTGTATACCTTTTTGGATTAATACGGCGCATTAACACAAGTCAAGCAGCTAATACTATAGTTTATGCCTCGCTCTAGATACATTTCTTCCATTCATCTACTTAGCGTTGCCTGTACTTTTGTGTTTGTTGAGTGTTTCTCACGTCATTGTTTATGTAATGCCAGCCTGCATGTTTCCACGCATTTAGTGTTACTCGCTGGTTGTTGGTCAGAGGCATTTTTCGCTTTCGTCTGCTTGGCTTTGTGATGAAATGTGCAACAACATTTCATGATGCATTGGTGCGTACTGTTGATTTGATTCGATGAGTTCGATGAGGTTTTGTTCGAATGCATTCATCTGAAATGCGGACCATATAAACTGGATACAAACAGCTTATTATTAATGAAATCTATTGAGTTCACTAGAATTTTATTAAATGTTTTTGTGATTCTTAAAAAATAATTAAAAAATATAGCAATTGCACTTTTTCTAAAAAAATTATTATTTTAGATTTTGGAAAACTAATAAGAACTAATTGCTCAAATGATCATTGTCAGCCGGTATCAATTAATCTATGATTTCGAATAATGATAAGATCCACGAACCATCTGCTTGCTTACATCATAACCCTTGCTTGCATGTTATCTTGAAATGACCCCTAAACTCTGAAGGAGAAGCATTTCTGTTCATTTTCATAAAAATAAAAGTTTGTACCGTGAATGCAGAATTGCAGTAACAAGCTAAACAGGCTGCCTGCAATCGATCAACTTACTATGGTTTGGCTCTGAGAAGGATCTCTCGCTCATCAACGTTGGTCTATCCATACTCGGCTGGGAGAATGCTCTTGCCCACACAATGGGGGCACATGTTCTTGGGACAGGGCAACACCACGCTGTAATGTCTCTACAACGATGATTAGGAAAGGATGAAGACCTTTGTATTAGGTTCATCAGCAGTTTTGTTAATGTATCTTCGAGTTAGATACATTGTACTATGTAAGCTGTCGATGCACTGTTTTGAATTTATCGCTTGATATACTATCTAAAATGATATCCACAAATTTGTTTGCTTGACAGTAAGTTGATTACTTAATTTAAAAGTTTGAACGACCACCTCACTGAGACCTTCAGCAACTGTTGGTTCCTTCGGATGATCAAATAATCTTCAAGTTGAGGGCTGATGGGCTGGCTGAGGGGTTCGCCTCAATTGAATGTTAGTTGAAATGTGGCCACTGCTTCAGCAGTCTAAATCCAAACATCGCCGTCCAAAACGAAAGAGGAATTAAGAATTATATTGAAAAACAGAAATTTTGAATAAACGCATTTAATAAATTTGATAAATAGGCATATTTTTTTTAATTTGTTCATGTGGAAATGCATAGAATGAATGAATGAATGAATGAATGAATGAATGAATAAATGAATGAATCTGAATGAGCAGACCCAACATGAAGATGCATTGTTATCAGTCAATTTAAAGTTGTTTTTAATGTTTTTTTTCCATCAATTGATTCTGCTATGTGCATAATTAATCAAAAAACTAAAAATTTAAACATTAAATGTATATTGTCCAACATTTATTCGTGCATTCATACAAATTATATTTTTTATTAATTCATTTATTCATTCATGCCTTCATTCAGTCATTCATTTGTTTAGTCTCTCGCCCAAGCACCTTAACTGCTTACAAATGAAACATGAAATGAATTGTAAGCACCAACTGATGAATATTTTATTCGGCAGACATTTGAATTGCGACGAATTTTGTATTTTCATTTTAAATCACTTTCAGACTAAAAACTTCGACCCTTTCATTTTTTGCTTTGATTAATCTGGATACCTCTTTTTCTACTTAAACTTTTTTTATTCTTTGAGTACGTTAAATAATTGTTTGAATATTTTTAAAGGATTTTAATATTTCGCATTAATTTCTTTTAATACTTGGATAGTAATATTACTAGCCTATAACTCAATTAATGTTATGATCATGACGGCCAGTCATAACATCAACCACATCAACAACTTCAACATCAACAACATCAACAACATCAACAACATCAACAACATCAACATCAACAACATCAACAACAACAACGACAACAACGACGACGATGGCAACAACAAAATTGTTCATTTTGTTAACTATTTAGAAAGATTCAAAAACTTTAAACTGAAAAAATCAGTCCACCAGTAACTGCAACAGCAGAAGGAGCCGAGCAGTGATTGGATGATATCGGCCAGCAACACCAGCGCCTAAAAACCATCGCGTTATTCTCTTCAGAACTGATGACCAAAATATCATGACATCATTAACAATTATTTTCACAAAATCAACAACAAAATTATTGACAGTAACAATAACAACGATGGTGATAATGTTGATCATGATGAAAATACTGATGACGACAAGGGAAAATTTAGGTCGGCGAGTTAGCTCAGTCGGTAGAAGTGCCATGTTTCGAGCTGTTAATAAGCGATGGCCTGGTTCGAATACTGCTTGAAACTGAAAAACTGCGCGTTCGTACAAAATAGACATATGTACATTGTGAAACTTGTTTGAATGTTTGATAGTTTGATAATTAAAAAGTGAAATATAGAGTGACGTGTAAGTTGATCCGCACCTACCAGCGTTGCATTATAAGGAGTGGAAAATGATGTAACCATGATGTTCATGGCAGCATCGACTGTGATCGCCTACAACAGAATGAAGATAAAATATAACTTAGATGATGATAATAGGGATGATGAAATAGAGGGGAAAGGATGATGACGACGACGATGATGATACCGAGAATAATGATGTTGAGATGATGACGTCAGAGGAAATGATGATGAACGCGTCAGAGGAATTGATGGTGACGTCAAAGATAATGATGATGACGTCACACACCGACTTTGATGAGTTCAGCTTCACTGACAACATCAACGATGACAGATTATAAAGAAGATCACCATCATCGTCGTCGTCGTCATCATCATCATCAACCAAAACAACAACAACTATAATGATTAACATAATAGCAACAACAAAAACAATAACAACAACAGCAGCAATAACATCAACAACATCAACAACAACAACACCAATGATGTGAAGATTTGATTGGGAATTGGAATATTGACAACGAATCGTCTGACGTGAAAGCTTATGAGCCTCTCTGATTAATATGATTACAAAATTAAAATTAAAAAAAATTAATTAATTAATTCAATGAAATAAAATAAGTGAAATAAAGTTGAAAAATTAAAATTAAGTAAAGAATGAATAAACGAAATTGAAAATAATCAATTTGAATTGCAGACTGTCTCAGGTTTAATATTAAAAACAACAACACCAACAACATCATCAACATCAGCAACAACCGCAACAACAACATCATAAACAACAACATCAACAACAACAGCAACATCAACAACAACCACAACAACAACCACAACAAAAACAATCGGATAATAATGCCCAATTAAACTGAACAAATAAAAATAAAGATTTCTAAACTTTCCCAGAGTTATGTGACAACAATGATGATGATGATGACAACGACGAACATGATGGTGATGATGGTGAAGAAGAAGATAATGATGATGATGATGATAAAATTTATAGTTTTGATAATGATGCTGGTAATGATAAGGATGGTGATATTAACGACAAAGAAGGCAACGATTAAAAAATGATGATGATGTGATGACTTTTGTGTTTATATGATATAAAAACACACACACACACACACACACACACACACACACACATACACACACATACGATACGATACGATACGATATATTTTATTTGCTTCAAAAATAAGAAAAGAAGACAGGATGACCATGATCAAGTTATCAGGTAACTTATCTAGTACGGCCACCTTACAAATAGTTTTAAACAAAATGAAATTTGAATTAAAAATTTCGTAGAAGAGAAATAATAATGTTTAGGAACCAAAATTGTTTTACGAATAATCCACCATATCCTTAAAAGTTAAAAATTAAAATAAAAATTAGAATTTTGAATTATGGTTCAGTGAATTGTTCATCAGTTTGTTTTTAAATGTTGTCAAAACTTTAGTACCTAAAACAGAATTCAAATCACAATTAATTATTAAGTTATTCCAAGTCCAAGGTCCATTGCACAAAATATGAAAAAATGAAATATTCGTTTTTGATTTGTTACATCGTATTATGTTTTTGTGCCGATGATTAAAAACAAAACAATAATAATTTGAGAAAATGGTTGGTAACAATCCAGCGTAATGCTTAAAGACAAAATTTGAGCATAAATACACATGGAGATTCTTATAGTTCAAATTACGCGTTGAAATAAACAGCTCCTCTGATGGAGCATTAAATTTTGAGCAGGTAATGGTCCTCATTGCTGTTTTCATGAACCGTTGCAGCGGTCGTGTCAATGATGGATACGTCGATGCCCAAGTGATGTTACCGTAGATGAGGTAAGGAAGGCAAATTGAACTGTACAGAAGTCTTAAGGTACATCTTGGTAGAAAGAATTTTACTCTGCTGATTGCACCCAATGATTTGGATACTTTGTTTCTTACGCAACTTATATGCTCTTTGAATGTTAATTTATTGTCAATTACGATTCCCAAGAAATTTGACGACTTAATTTCTGATATTGTTTCACCATCAACAATAATTTTATAAGGCTCTTTGTGATTTAAGTATTGGACGGGTCCAAAAACCATAAATTTAGTTTTTTCCTTGTTGAAGGCCAGCCTGTTATTTCTGAACCATTGAACAACGGTCTGAACATTATTGTCTGAACATACACAAACACACACACATATACACACACACACATACGCACACATACATATACACACACATACATATACACACACATACACACAAAAACACACACATACACACACACAGACACACACATTTACAGAACGTAGGTATGTATGTGTGGACCACCATTGCCATTTCACTTGAAGATTCAATGGCTTGTGTAATTATACCCTATATTTTTATATCCAGAATTCAATTTTTTGTATTAATAATTTTTATTAATCACATATTTTTTTATCAATTCATTCATTTATTTAACCATCTGTTCATCTACCTAACTATCAATCATTTATTCATTCATTCGTCTACCCATCCATCCATCCATCCGTCTATCCATCCGTCTATCCATCCGTCTATCTATCCGTCTATCCATCCATCCATCCATCCATCCATCCATCCATCCATCCATCCATCCATCCATCCACATCACTGACCTTATTAATTGCCCTGTACTCCCTCCTAGGGTCCACCCAACTACCACCATTCCCACTCCACCCAAACCCACCAGAACCACCATACCTCCTGCCACTATTGATGACGTCACCACCAACACCATTATCATCACTACCACCACCACCGCCACCACCACCGCCACCATCATCATCATCATCCATCTTCCAGTAGAGAGCGCTGAGGTCGGGCCTGTAGACGACGAAGCAGACGATGGCAAAACCGGAAGTGTGAATGGATGCGTGGGCGGATGAACAGCTGATTCGTGGTTTGACTGGCGGGAGTTATGTTATTGTTATTGTTGTCCTTTTCATGACCCACAATAGCAATGACGTCATCGTTCTAATCATTATTATCCTCGTCATCATTTTCAATGATGTCGTTGTATTCGTCATATCATCATCGTCGTCATCATCACCACCGTCATCATCATTACCACCGTCATCATCATTATCATGATGAACATCATGATCATCATCATCACCACCATCATCATCACCATCCCCATCATCATCTCCATCATCATCATCACCATTATCCCCACCACCACCGTCATCATCATCTCCATCATCATCACCACCACCATCATCATCCTCCCCCCACTTACAGGACAGAACGATGTTAGCAGTAACGACGGCGACATTTTGGAAGAAGCGAGCCACACACCGCATCAGCTTCACTCCGCTCACTCTGACGTCATCCTCTGCTGTCATCCTCAACGCCTCATC